GGTCGAAAGTGCGACTATCACCGGCGGCACCTGCCACCGTGTTCAAAAATTTAACAGATTTATCTAAAAGTGCGGAGTAGAAGTCATCTTTGGATGACGAACACGAGAAAGAATCATAGATTTCCAAAATACGTCTAAAGAAGTCAATGGCCAAAAGGTTCCAGTGTTTGCCGTCCTTGTGCGCTGGTGCCAAGACGAGGTCATGAGACAGGAGGTCCACATCTTTAGCCCATCTACTAACAACTGTCGGACCTCGCAGAAGCAGTGTAGAGGCGAAGAAAGAGTTAAAGGTGTACGTCTTCTTGGTAGCAGCAGTCCGGCCGCAGTCGTCCAGTAGCATCACCATGTAGAAATTGACGACCTCATCGTTGAGCTCCCCGGATCCCTCCACGAGTGCGACGATGTCCTTGACGGATACCTGTAAATTATGCGACGGCAAACGCGCGACGATGATAGTGAGCGACAACCGGGAGCAGATAACGTCTTCAAGGACTGCTCTTCCATTTGAGGAAACCTTGTTCAACAAACACCCGCAGCACACAGCAAGCACAAAGGATGGGGCACTATGAGAAAATGTCGTCCTAGCGGCCATGGTCCGACGAACCGCTACTCTGTGGCCCGAAAAGTTCACGCATAACGTCACCCCTACTTCTGGACCTTCCACACACAGTTGATTCCAAACTACCACTGTCCTTCTTTATATCCCTGCAAGCCTCGAGAAGGAATTCCTTGCATTCTTTTTCGGCAACACCCGCTGCCTCTGCAACGAGTCTAGCGGAAGGGCCCAATACGGGCACGACAACCCTTCTGGGAGGGCCCCGAGGTTTAGTCTCCCCAGAAAACAAATCGGTGACATTGCGACGACCAGTGCCTCCTGCAACCAGGACTGACAACCTGGCGAGGGCAGGCAGCTCCTGCGACATGTGTGTTTGTCCACGAGCTCGTCGACCTGTACAAGAAATAGCCACCCAGACAGTTCAGCAGGAGATCAACAACACAACTTCGCAAGAGCAACCAAGCAAACAGCACCTCACGAAGCACATCGTCACAATCCAGTTGGCGGCCGCCTACACACCTCCCCGAAATCGACGAAGCAAACAACACTTCACGAACGGGCTGACGAGCGGGAAGCAAGCAGAGGAAGACAATGCTTACCAGGCTTAGCTTCCACGTCACGAGAGCCCACCGATGGCAGTCCCAGCACGATTGGCGCCCCCGTGCGCGTCGACGCGGCTACGACGTGCTCCAAAATCACAGGGAAACTGGACAGGTTCGAGATGTCGACGTCGATGACCGGAGACGACATGAATTCATCCCCATCCCGATGGCGGAAATCCTCCACGTCCGCGACGGGCAATTTTAGTATGTCCGTCTCCGGACAAAGAACGTCGACGTCCACAACATCGATAGGTTGGGTTTCCTCCATCGTCGTTGTGTCGTATTGTGTTGTGCTCAAGGTCCCATGGATGTCCAACAACACCTCTCCCCCCCTTAACTTCTTGTCCTCGTGCGCTGTGTCTTTAATGTCGTCACTCAAATAGAGAAATCTATCTCCAACAGCGTCAGAGGACTTCTTCAGAATGTCCTCTCCCATCGCCTCGTCGTGAAGGCCGGAGTACAAGGGGTCGTCGTATGTCGGCTGCACTGGTTGCTCCATCCCGACGTCGCCGAGTGACGGATCACTCCCGTCGTCGGCGGAATCGTCCTTGTCCAAAGTCGTCAGAAGTCGACAACCGTCAAGTCCTTCGTTCGTGTGTCTCGGATGAATCCGAATTACGGTCGTCTCCAAACCTGCATCAGGGAGGCACATGCTCACAGGGCCCTGGTTCGGATTCATCCGAGCCCCCATAGTTTTCAACGGCGACGACGTGTCCGCTTTCACCGGAGAGTCGCTTAAGACTGCTAACATAGCGCGTACCATCACCAGGCATTCGGCTCCGAGTGTGAGGGGCTCGACATTGAAACTGGTCGCTAACTCACCCTCAGTCGGACAGTCTGCCTGCAGCTCCTTGCGGACACGTCCTCCTGGTACGGATGAATCCGAATATCGCCGCCAGGGTTTTCGGAAACCCGGACCACCCGTTCGAGCTCCACAGACCGCTGTGCTCTCGCAACGGTACTGGCTTCCCAGTTCGGATTAATCCGATTTTCCTTTTGAGGCGAAACCGAACATGGTTGGAGCTTGTCGCTGCCGGATCCGTGGTATGTTGTCGTCTCGCTTCCCGGAAGGCACTGAGTTCCGGACGACGATGTCGTCTCCGAGGTTCGGATAGATCCGAGACAATCAGCCAACCATTTTTGGAGTTGAGCGAAGCAAGTTCAATTCTTTGCTACAACTGCCCCGCCAACAGCATCAGTATACTGTGTTGCGCTGGTGGAGCTAATCACAGGGTTCTGCTCGCCAGGCCACGTGATCCACCCAAGCCTGAAGTCGTTCCCCGTTTCCATTGAGGTGCTGCCTGTCACCGCCAGAACCTCATCGTCCTCGTCGCGGTCGACATCGGACCCCTGCCCGTCTCCTGTGTGATGCTTTGTCTTCTCTCCGCTGCGAGGCTTTTTCTTCTCCCGGCTGCCCTTTTTCCCCTTTCCGCCGCCTGCGTGCCCCAGAGACCGCTGTTTCGTTGAACGCTGTTCGCTTCCACCTCCGGTACCTCGTTGCCCGCCGCCTTCACCATCCCTTCGCCGTCCTTTCCGCGAGACTTGCGCTTCACAACTCCTGCCAGCGGGGTGACCGCAGGCAACTCCCAACCTACTTGCTTAATTGACAGGCTTGACGGAAGGGCGTAGAACGCGGAGGACACTTCCAGCCATTTATTTGGCTGCAATAAATCGAACAGTGTGTCCCCGTATTCGCGCAGAGCAGGGTCGTGCTTACTTCGTCAATTGACCTCACTTAATATCTCCAATACTGCATCGTAGGCGCGAGATTTGAATGTATCAAGGTCCCAACGATCGTCATATATCCACCCTCCACTTACGTCCCTCACAGCCACTGCCCATTCGCCGTCGAGAAGGACTGGTTGGAAATGGTCTGGGTGCCACACGATAGCATGGCCCGAATCTTCGGCTGTGGAGAAGGTGTGTTTGTCGCCCATGTGGAAGGGAGTCGCAGGAGCCTTGAGATGCGGATGGTCCTGAGGAACTGGATGGCCGGGTCGAAGACGTTCGGGCTGCGGTGTGAGACGAATAGGCTCCCCCGGCGAACTCCTCAGACGGGAGAACCCACCCCTCTTGACAGGCGCTGAGGAGGACACGGGCGTGGGACCGCCCGAGGTGGGTGTAGCGAGAGGTGTCCCCGGTTTGGATACTGACGGCGACTCATAAACTTGGGCGTTGAAGATGGCCAATTGCCCGTCCAAATCGAAGAGGTCGTCCTCAACGCTCTCCCCCTGCTCAGTCTCGATATTAAAGTCGCCCTCCTCACCGAATGCCAGCTTGTAGTTATCCAAAGTGAAGTGGGCAGGATCGATAACATTCTCGTTAAAAAATACATATTCCAGCCTCTTAATGAAGCTCACAGCGCCGGCCCGACTCGCTCCGTGGTAGCCCTGGAGGACCGCAATGGCGCCTTTTCTTCGGAGTCAACTAGAAGATCATGTCCTTGTTCGGGTCATAAACGTGCTCGACTACAACATGGTGGAAATCGCTTGGGTAAGTCTTGGAGGACACTTCATGGGTGACATACTGCACGGTGTATTCGAGCTGCGTTGTGTCCCCATCCACGGCMAAGACGTGCCTTCCCTGCTGAAGCAGACTCCACACCACCTGCGCGTGCGGCTTGCCCAAAAACAGCACGGCATCCGCCACACCACAGAAGAAAAGAAGCTGATTGCATAACTGATTCGGATTCCGCTCACCGTCCTTGTACAGAGCCCCCCGCTGGGTGAGGTTTCCGATGTCCGCGAAAGTCAAGGACTTGAAAGACTTCTCCTCCACATCCGTGGGTGTCACTTTCTGTTTCCTCCAGAGAGCGGCGGCGTCGTCTTCAGCAACAGCTCCCTCGTACACCGGGTGAGTCAGTAGCCGAGGATCCTCGTCTTTGAAAAGGATGTTCATCACATCCGGCTCCTTCCAGACGCTATTTCCGAACTGATGCGTCTTCTTCGATGTCGTCTTCCGAACCCATTTCCCCATGGAGCATCGGGTGGCCCCAAGCGCAGACAAAGATGTCATGAAGGAGAGGTTCCACAGGCAGGGAACGAATACCACCAATATCCAGTAGTCCTGACAAACGAAGCCCAGCAACTCACTCAGAGACGCGAATGCCCCAGAGTCCCATTGCGCACGGTCCACACTTCCGCACAAGTCGAGCACGCAAGTGTGAGACTGTAGCTGATGCCCTAGTTTTCCCAGCGCCTCCTTATGATCTATGGCACTCAGTGGGTCGACATTAAACTGGGCCAGCGTCGTAAAGGCGCTTGTCCTCGTCCACAAAATGTTGATGCATTCATCAACGCCTCGAGGCTTTTTTTTGCCTTTGGCGCGATCTCCAGTGATCACCGAAAGGACGACACGCTTCCACTCCGCCGGAAAATGCTGGTCGTTGACGAGGGACGCCGTTCTCTTGATGTTATTGTCGTGTTGACACCCGAGAAACTGAGGGCACTTGTTGACGTACGTGGTGTCCGTGAAAAATTTCCTGCTGTCGTTCCAAAGCTTGTCGTCGAGACCTTTGTCCTTGAACTCTTCCAACAGTGGCTTCTTGGACCTGAAGAACGTGGAGTTGGCATTCCACTCCCGCTTATCCATTTCCTCGTACTCGAACTCTACGTAGTACCACAGCCTCAGCATAATCCAGTCCATTTTTATTATGTCGACCATCTCCTTGACACTGAACTTCCCCTACTCGGCCAACTTCTTGCTACTCGTTTGAACCCACACGACGTTAAGGTTCAAGACGCCGTTCAACAGCCTTTTCTTCTCGCGGTCCGTCAAGTCCACCAATTCCTTCCAGCAGTGGACATCCAGCTCAGGAACTTGGACGTAAAAAGTTTTCTCCTCCGCGCCTTTCTTTGGCTTCCCCTTGGCCTTTTTCAACGAAGGGTCGTCCACCTTCACGTACCAGACGTGTTTCTTCAGCCCCTGGCTGTGAGTCACAGTGGAGAGACCTGTCTTGGCCACCTCCTCATGGGTGGGCGACTTTTCAGTCCAACGCCGGCCGTCGGAAGCAAGGAGTTTCCCTTTCGACCACTCCTAATAGAACTTCTCCTCCAAAGTGAAGACGGAGTCATCTGCCATGGCCAGCGGGAGGTAGTATCGAAGTTTCTCAGCCCATTCCTTTCTTGTCTTTTCTTCCGTTGACAGGTTCCACAAAGGCGTGTACGGTGTCTTCTTCATAGCCAACGCCATGAACTGCACCCACTTTCGCACCTCGTCCTTTTTCTTCGACGCATTGCCGAGCACCACACGCGGTTTGCCCTTAATTTTCCAGATATTGCGAATGTCCCGCATAGACAAAACCTGCAAGCGCGGTGGATTCTTCTTGTCTTTCATGTTGTCTTCGCAGCTGACATGGGCGTAGCCGTCGAACTCGTCGTCAGGGAAGTAGATCGGTCTGAACGACCATTTACAGAAGTTGTAGTACTCAAACACGGGATGGTCTTTCACCTTCATCGCCACCCTCGCGTTATGCTGTCCACACACAGGATAATACCAGTATTTCTCCGGTTGTGAGTTGTCGAAGTCAGCAGGCAGCACGCGCACAGCAGACTCGCCGTTCTGTCGAGGCGAAACGATCGGAGCGAGAACGAAAATGGGCTTCGTGTATCTCATGTCTTTACGTTCGTAGCAGTCGATCATAGCCGACGCGATGGTATCAATGAGGAAATCGTCCAAGGATCGGTGGTTGTACGCGTCTTCCCTGTCTGGAATAGCTAATATTCTTTCGGGATGGATGTGCAACACGACGTCCCTCTGCACCCCTGTCTGCATCTCGAGGAAAAACGCATTGTCGAGGTTAAAGGCGTTGAGGTTAATCTCCACGTCGTCATCCCCCTCCCCACTGTCGCCCTCATCTGCTTTCGTTGACCGTTTTCCAGAAGACTCACCAGTTCTTCGCCATGTCGACGAGTCTTTTGGCGTTTCATCCCCACCCCGAACCCTTTTCCTCTTGTCAAGGGAACCGCCCTCTCGTGTTGTTGGCACCCGAGCACTCCCTCCTACCTTTCTCTGCCTTTTCAGAGCACCTACTTCCTCTCGCTCTTCCTCATTCGGCAAGTTGCGCTTGCCTCCCGACTGAGTCTTTTCAGCCGATCTCTCACGGAACAGCCCCTGCTCGGACACCTCCTCCTCACCGGCGACGTTCCCACTTGCTTCTCCTTCCTGGCTCAACTCCGTCTGCAGTTGCGCAGACGCAGGTCGGGCCCGGCAAGTCGTCTCATCTGACCCACGCACCTCTCGAACCTGCGGACCACCCGCTCGATCTCCAGGCGAAACCTCGGCCACCTGCATGCCACGAACGAACGAACCGATCCTTTCGACCAGACCACGAGGAGTCGTCGATTCTGAGCCCTGTCGCAACCGTTCGCCATCGCCGCCTCCACGTGGCGTCGACTCCTCAAGCAAACCTTGGCGGAGAGATCCATGCAAGTCCGGTTTCAAAGGAGCATGCGGATGGTCGTCCTTCGAGTCGTCTGACATGCCCACCTCTTGATCAGGAGGCGTAGCTGGCAGGCCACCCTGACCTCCCATCCCCCTTTCAGGGCACTCTCCTCCCGCGAACCCAACAGGACCACTGATCGATGTCCCAGGTCCGACGTCCACGACACTGACAGAGGTACCAGATCTCGCCCAGACCTCGAGGAAGTTTGTCACGTGAACGGCCTCGTCGTGCCCCGACGCTAGCGGGACAAAGTACGGCAAAGACATCGCACGCCGGCCGTACCCGCCGAACATCCTCCCGGCAACCTTGCATCGCTTTGCGATGTCGTCGACGGAACCATCACTTTTGTAATGCTTCTTCAACGTAAACTTGAAATTGTATTCGCCATCGTCGACCCACTGGATGATGGACCCTGGGAGACGCGTTCTGTCGGCGCGAACGGCGACGAACAAGAGCGGCCCGCACGGTGGTTGCAACGGGTTGGAGCCGTATTGGCTCGCCCAGTCCAAATACCAGAGACGTTTGTTGTAGTCGCACCACAAGTTTTGATCCCGTCGTTCTTCCTACCCACCGCCACCTCCCTGACTCGTTTCCCTTGCCGGCGACGACCTCATCCCTCGACGCTCCTCTCCATGCGGGGCGGAACCACCAGCGGAGCGACTTCGTCCGTGTGTAGCCATTCTCTGAAACACACGGAGGAAATGAACCCACATGCACTCAAAACAGTCAGCACGTCCCAACATCAACCACGACCCACAACACGTATTCTTTTATCGGTCACCCGGTCCCCAAAAGAACGAAGTTCAGTCATAGTTAGACGGCAGTGGTCCACACGCCTGCACGTTTCGGATGAATCCGAGGCATCGTGAGCCATCCTCGTCACACTGCCCTTAAGAGAACGAATGGTCGAAAACGAAGACCGCGGGATAGATCGGATACATCCGAAGCAGGCGCAGTCGAAAAACTGACGTCGCATAGGCACCTGCACCGGGAAAAGCAATACCTCGCAAGAAGGCACTAGAACACTGATACAACAGACGAAGACGTGCACCCCGTGGTGATACGGTGTCATCCGAAGTCGACAAGCGGATTGTAAAGTTCGCCGTTGTAGTTCGGATGCATCCGAGCTCCAAAGCGGTTTGGACCACCCCCTTTCGGCCCGGACCAAGCCGAACTGGAGTTTTCTTGTCCTTCTGAATCGGTAACGGTTGTGACTCGGATGCATCCGAATTCGAACAGCGTGGTCCAGAGACGGTCGTCCACAAGAGGTCGCCATCTACAACACGTGTTTTCGTCATCGACCTGTGAGCACTGGTTTAACCCTATCCTGCCGGAGGTTTGGTTCGGTTGAACCTGAACTTCGCAAATGTGGCTCGGATTAATCCGAGACGGGGACCGGCGGATGGACCCCACGGTCTGTTGACGCCCATCCAGCCATCCAAGCGTCCGTTATTCCCCAGCTGTCCTTGGGTCCACCCGAATTTCGCACGGTGTGTCTTCGTTCTTGAGTGTTTAAGACGGGTGTGGCTCGGATTTATCCGATTTTGACAGGGGCTGTCCCGATACGTGCGACTACGACAGGCTGCGCCGACACCGTGTGCTTTCGTCGTACAAGTTTATCAGACCGTGCGACGTCGTCAATACCCTCTGCGCATGTGGTAAATCCGAGCAAGCCATCGGTGTGGTTCGGACTAATCCGACTTCGCCGAGGCGCTTCGATTTATTGTCGCCCCACCACACACCGTTCCCCGCGATTGCCGAAGTGTGTCATTATAATATGTTCATCATCACGGGGGATGTTGTCGTCCTCGTGAGTTTTAGTTGGTTCTTGCTCGCCCAATTCAAATAATAGACACGTTTGCTGTAGTCTCAGCACAAGTTTGGAGCTCGTCTTTCTTCCACCCGAGCGTCACCATGCGGACTCGTTTTAGTTGCATGAATCCGAGGCATCGTTAACCCTCGTTATCAGACTACCCTTCGTAGAGCAAATGGTCGAAGACAAAGACAGCGGGCTAGTTCGGACACATCCGAACTGGGCAGAGTCGAAAGACCTACGTTGTGGCTCGGATGCATCCGAATGAGCACAATGCGTGACAGAAACGACCGACCACAAGAGGAGGCCATCGGCATGGCGTGTTTTCCTCAATGACCTGTGAGCATAGGGTGGACCCTATCCTGTTGGAGGTGTGGTTCGGATTAATCCGAGACGGGGACCGGTGGATGGACGGCACGGTCTGTTGACAGCGTGTGATTTCGTCGTTCACGTTTATCAGAACGTGCGACGTCGTAAATACCGTCTGAGCATGTGACAAATCTAAATTTGCCGTCGGTGTGGTTCGGATTAATCCGAACTTCGCCGAGGTGCCTCGGTTAGTGGTCGCCCCGTGAGTTTTAGTGGGTTGTGGCTCGGATGCAACTGAAATTAACAAGGGTGGCTCGGATACGTTAGTTGTTGTGCCACCACAAGATGGTGTGGACAGGGTGGGCTGTCGTCCTCCTGGTTGGTCAGACATGTCGCCGTCGACATGTACCCTATGAGCATCTGATCGCTCCGTGTCCTGTCCTGTGTCCACGTCAGCGGAAGGGTTCCTCGCGGCGTTTGGCTGACGCGAGGTTTGATAGGCTTTAAAGATTTGAATACACGTTCGCCTCCTGTGTCTTCGGATCTGTCGTGGCAGTCTTCGGATTACTGATTTGCTAGTGCACTCAGGGGGGACCAACCTAAGATCGGTTGAGCGACTGTCTGCGATACACGAAGATTGGAGAAAGGCAGAAAACACGCATAGACACGGAAGGGAGACTAAGATCGATAGAGACGTCGACAAGGAGAGGATGTGCAGATCCTACGGATGGTGTTGTCCATTTCGGAATTCGCAATGTGACCCATTAATAAAACGACACAAAAGAAATATAAGAAAAAATTGTTCGTGTCGGCGAGAGGAAGAGTGACGAAAAATGTGAAAAATTCGATGAATGTGGAGGACAATTTACGGATACAGAACCGAACGCCGAGAGAACTGCACGACACGACTTACGCGGAGAACGAATAAACAAACTGAGCGCAATAAAAATTAATTCGGCGAAAAGAAAGTCCATGTGCAATCCAGAAGAGACACGATTCATGAGAAATCATGTTCTCGTGTTCGACAACATACGACTGAAATCCTTATATCGCAGTTCGTGAGAGAGACAACAAATTGACGACAAGCAAGTAACACTTCAAGAAAACATATGAAGTGACGAGACAATCTCGAAGGGCGTGTCACAACATTCTCGGGCTACATTCGCGGGTCCCATTTCGTTGGTGACCACTCGCCCCGATCAGATGGCACACAAACACGTCCACATGTCAGCTCCTACACATGCGTGGCCACGCTGATGGATGCGGGGCTCTATTCGACAACATTCCGTTATCGCATAGAGCCCCGCATCCATCAGCGTGGCCATGCTTGTTCAGGACGTGACACGTGGGCGTCTGAGTGTGCCATCTGATCGGGGCGAGTGATCGTCAATGAAACGCATGCATTCTTGCTCCCGAAACTCCTTCATCTCGCCCCGATCAGATGGCACACTCACACGTCCACATGTCAAGTCCTAAACATGCGTGGCCACGCTGATGGGTGCGGGGCTTTATTGGACAACATTCTGCTGCCGCATAGAGCCTCGCATCCATCAGCGTGCACACGCTTGTTCAGGAACTGACACGTGGACGTTTGAGTGTGCCATGTGATCGGGGCGAGTGGTCGCCAATGGAACGAGATCCGCAAACGCACCCCGAGGTAAGTTCGGGAAAGAAACAGGCCAACGCATAAGACAAACGAAATAGAGGCACTGAAGACAAACTAACGACGAGGACCAAGATGGTAGTTGAACACGACGGCACACACATCCACGTGTCAAGTCCTGATCATGCGTGGCCACGCTGATGGGTGCGGGGCTCCATTCGACAACATTTTGTTGCCACATAGAGCCCCACATCCATCAGCGTGCCCACGCTTGTTCAGGAACTGCCACGTGGACGTGTGAGTGTGCCATCTGATCGGGGCGAGTGGTCGCCAATGGAACTAGATTCGCGAAAGCAGGCCGACAGAAAAGACGAACGACATAGAGGCACTGATAGAAAACTGACGACGGGGACGATGATCGTGGTGGAACACGAAGCTGTTGGTTCTGTCTCATTCGTTTGTCTGCGCTTGTCAGTTACATTCGCAAACTTTGTGCGTACGATACAGACAAGCGCAGTAAAACGAACGAGATAAAAGACAGAAAGAGAGATAAATAGATAGCGAGAGAGAGAGAGAGTGTGACAGAGAGGCGATCTTCGCCTTCATCACACGGCCCAATCAAACGTCACGATCAAATGGCCCCGAACGTCACCCTGATCACACATCGGACTCACGGAGAGAAATCCCTGTTGGATCACACGACACTGCTCGTTCGCGGTGATTGAACCCAATGTAATCGCCACCGCGCGAATCCCGACTACAGATTGCGTGCATGTGTGGGCATTCTAACGGTCTACGCAAACCCAGCATGGCATGACTTTTCAGATCGGTGGAGATGGCGAGAGAAAGAGAGACAGAGAGAGAGATAGAGAGGGAGGGAGAGAGAGAGAGGGAGAGAGACAGAGAAAGAGAGAGAGAGAGAGAGAGAGAGAGAGAGAGAGAGAGAGAGAGAGAGAGAGAGAGAGA